GATGGCCTTAGTGGGATTAACGCAGGTAGACGATAGTAGGCCAAAACTATAGATTTATATAGAATTTCGCCTATGCGATTAAAATCATATCTTTTCCGCACCGGAAGGCCTTGCTGTAGTATCACCCGTAGGTAAAGGGTAGCGGGCTAAAAATATGAGATCGCCTGAACCTAATCTGATATATTTATATGCGAGCCACAATTATCACATTCATTTCGCATTTCCACTGCTCTGTAAATTGTAAAGGGTTTCGATGAGATCCCACTCTATCATTATAGCGTAAGCCCTTAACTAATGAATCAATCCTTGCACTTGCTATGGATAACAACCTATACCCTTAATCAAAACGAAACATCCCAACTTTCATAATCATGAGATAACTTAATTGGGTATTTTAGCAAAATCATTAATTTGCTCCATCTAACGTCTATCCTATCCTGTAAATGGGTAAGAGTGTGTTTAGTATGTTTAATAACTGCACTATACCAATTTATAGGATTCAATTGGTCTACTACCGCCCTACTACCGCTCAACTACCGTAGTCCGCATAGTGTGGAACAAATATGATTTTCTTGTCAATATAACAAATTAACCCGAAGGCCAATTTCGAGGGGAAATCCAGCGTTTTAAGATTTCGGGCCTGGTTACGTGCGATAGCGCTGCTGGATTACAACTTTCGTATAGAATTATTCATACATATTACTGCGTTGTGAATCACAAGGAGAGCCCATTTCTCAACCATTCCACCTCATTTATCCATGTGAAAGCATTAACCCGAACGCAAATCTATTTCCGTGTTCAACATTTGTAAGCGTGATGCCAAGGAAATAAATTGCAAGATAATGCACCACAACCAAGACCTTTACCAGACAGTAGCTCTATAGTAAAGGGAAATTATCCCTCCTAACATATAACCCTCTCTTGTTCTAGATTCTAGTGATGTATTGATGTAAATCTGCATGGTCTCTGGAGGAAACTACTGGATAACTTAGAATGTGATAAACACAAGCCGTTCAATAAAGCTTGAGTCAAAAGACGGAGATAAACGATTAAGCAAGAAGATACTCTCAAATCTTTAAAAAAAATATCATTCAAAACTTACACTTTTTGGCTGATCCATTCGAATCTTTCTTGACTTCTTTTTTTGAAGCTGCAGTCGTTTTCTTGGCTCCGGTTGGGAACACTTGGTCAATGATAAGAACAATGAACTAAAAAGAAAGAAACGAGCCTGACGCGACCAACAGAATGTTAAATTTGACATGATAAAAATACTTACAAATCCTAGGATGCATCCCAGTGCGAGGGTTACACCAGCGAATAGAGAATAGGAGGCCCACGAGGGTACTCCCTTTACTTCGACAAGGTGATTATGAAGATCACGTACAGCCATGGAAAGCTTGAAGAACACAGCGACAACGGCCATTCTGAATATTTTCAACTAACCCCACTATGAAGAAAAGTAGCCGTAAAATAAAACCAGAAACATGATCTTAAGACAGAATTCGCTCTACACCTATTATCCGCCACTATTTCTGCAGAAAAGATTCCAAGAAAATCTCGACAAAACCCACACTATTTCCACTACAATTTGATAAGTTTCTGCAAAATTGCCAATAAGCACGGAAGGAGATTTGTAAACATTCACTTAAAAAAAAAATTGAATGCATCCAGGAAAATACTCCTGTATCAGTTCATCATCCCGTTACCATTACAAGAGATTGATACTTATCCCTTGTGCTCAATTTTCAACCTCAACATTTTTGGAACTAGGATACCGTCCTCTTC